AGGGAGACGGCCTCCACCCATTGGTGCTCCTGCAGACTCCGGGGCAGAGGTGGTCCCGGTGGTGGTCTCTGGTGCTCACTTGGCCAGGGGAGCCATGGCTGCATGGTGCGTGGCTGGGGGATGGCAGCAAGGCCTGAGCAAGTGCCACGAAGGCCAGTGCTGTCCCGCCGCCCCAGCCCAACTTCGCCCCTGCCTTGCTTGTCTGGCGTGATTAAAGGATGTGTGTCTTCTTGGCAATTAGGGCTCGTTCTTTCTGCTGGGCTCCGCTCCCCTCCTTGGGAGGGCAGCCGGTCCTGGTTTCTACCCGGGGCCTGGATCTGGGGCTCAGAGTGACCGAAGCAGCCTAGGGCTCCTCCCCACATACTCGCCACTCACAAGGACACCAGCCCCTCGGTCACTCCAGCAGCCCGTGTGCCTGGGGGTGAGTGGAACTGGCTCAGAGTCTGCTATGTCGGGCCCTGGCTGTGGCCTCGGGAAAGTCCGCACATCCCTGAGCCTCAGTTTCCTTGTCTGTAAAATGGGGACAATGATCATCTACCTCATGAGGTGGCCATAAGGATTAGAAGAGGGGCTGCCCAGTGAGCGCCATGTTCATCCTTTGAACCACACCTGTTGAGCACCTACTGTGTGCTAGGTTCCCAACTAGGCACGGAGGCTGCTATGGGGAGCACAGTCCGTCACCGCCCCGCCCCGCCCACGGAGAACACTTATGGAGTTAATGTCCTAGCGAGGCACTCGGGACCGGGGCATGACCGCAGCCCCTCCCGTGGGGGTTCTCTCTCACGTTTTGGTTTAACGTTTACGAGAGAGCTGGTGGATGTTCTCCGGAGTTGGACCGCTTCGACAGGTCCTGAGCGGCTGGACAGCCTGGCGGCCGCTCACAAAAACATACTGAAAGTAATCGTGTCGACTGCCTGTGCTGACTTGATGGGGCATCTGTGCTGCCGTGCGTCACGCTGCTGTGTTACGTGGCTTTCTGGGCACCATTTGGAAGCGCATGCTCTGAGAACAAACCCATCATAACCGCCCCAGGATTAGCCAGGCCCGGCAGCCGCCCAGGCGGGGACACACTTGGGTCTGCGTTCCCTTGGAGGGCATCCGGCCTCTGAAGGAGGCTTCCCAGCACCCTGAAGGCCTGGCAGCTCCCGCCCTGGAGCCCTAACAGGGCAGAGGCTCCTCGGAGGAGGAGGAGAGAGCCACGGCCCGCTTTTGGTCCAGGCTCTGTGCCTCCTCCGCCTCACCAGCACCCTTGCTCTGACCCTGGTGGTCCCGTTCCCCCCATTGCCAGGCGGGAGCCCTGTGTCCTGGCCGTCACGAGGACGGGCAGTTCGCTCATTGCTGAGGCAGCAAAGCTTTTGAAACTTCTCGCCAAGCACCTGCAGGAGGATTGAAGTTTGTCCCTCGCAAAGTGAGGCCAAAGGCCGAAGACAGTTCCAGGCCACATTCGTTCAGGGCTCCAGACTGGCAGCTCCCGCGTTGCCTCATCTGGCCGGCTGGAGACGCTTCTCCCGTCCGCGCCTCGGATGCGGCCTCTGGTCTGCCTGGGCCCATCTTTCCCCCAGGATCCCAGTTCCTGACTTGGCGGCGCATCCTTGGTGGGTGGTAAGAGCCTCTAGGTCTCTGTGGTGGAGAACCCCCCAACAGGCAAGGCCGTAGCGGGAATTGGACAGGGGCCCTGGAAACCGGAGGCCCCCGAGCCTGCTGCCAGGCCTGTGGGGACAGTGCCCCCCAGGAGATCCACAACACTTAGGCCCGGTGACCCCAGCGAGCTGGGGAAACACGGTTGTGGACACCTCCCCACCCTGGGGGCAATCCTTTTCAGTTAAGTATCTCAAAAGTGATATTTCCCCCCTGAAATGTTGGGCCACAGGGAAGGGAGAGGAGGACCAGGAGGAGAAGCAGCCCCACGAGATGGCAAATACCCCAGGCTGGGCGACAGGGGGCCTCCCCCCAGCTTCGCCATTGCTTGGTTGGGTGGCCTGAGGCGAATGTAGGGATGCTGAGGGGCAAGGGCGATCAGACAGTGACCTGAGCTGAAACCAGGGCAGAGCTGGTGCAGGTGGCTGAGTGTGGCTATGTCCCCGGTCGCCTGTTGCCTGGATGGGGTGCTGCATCCATTCTGTGGGCTTGGGCAGGGTGTGTCCGGAAGTCCTCAGCCTTCCTGGGAAGGATCCACACAGGAGCTCCTTCCTTTGCCACATGGGAGAATGGAGAAGAAAGTGGAGAATTCCAGAGGGGGGGGTGGCTGAGAAAGCTTCTTAGTGGAGGGGACATTTGAGCAGGGCCTGGGAGGATGAATAGGAGTTTGAAAGACACATGATGCGGGGAAAGGGGACAGTGGGATGAAAGGGTTGGAGGTGGGACAACACAATCTATGTTCTGGGTGGTGAGAAAGATCAGTGTGCTAGATAAGCATTTGGAAAGGAGGCAGAGAGAGAGACCAGGGCGGGATTTGAGACTGGAGAGATAGGGGCCAAGCCATGGAAGGCCTTGAATGTCAGGCTAAGTCTGGACTTGAGCTCCTAGGCGCTGGGAGCAGCTGGAGGGTTCTGAGCCACGCGGTTAGTGGTTCGAGCTGATTTAAGAGGCGGATCGCTCTGGTGGGGCATGCATTGTAGAGGGTGAGACTGGAGGCAGTGGCGGGGCTGTGCCATGGTCCAGAGGAGGACATGGAATGCCTGGAGAGTGGGTGAATTGTGGGTGCCGTCCTGGAGGAGAGGGCCATGTGCCCACGGGACTTTGAAGGAGGTAAGAGATTTTATAGCAGAGGGGCGGGAGGAGGGCAGCCAGCTGGGAGGTCCAGCTCGGGCCAAGGGTCTCCCAGGCCATGTTACTCCTACAAGACTTTTCTCTAACAGCAGGAAGAGGGCCCGCCTGGTGCCAGGAGGTGGGCTCCTGTGCCAGCTCTGCCTGGGGGCATCACTGATTGACTCAAGGACTGGAGGGCGCTGGGTAACTGGTCTAGTCTCTCTGGACCCCCTCATGGTCCTTATCAGTCACATTGGATCCAAATCCCTCCTCTCTCGCCCCATCAAGGCCTTTGGGGGTATCCAAGGCTATAAGGGGTGACTGTATTTTCAGAACCCCAAATCAGGACCCCTGGACTAACAATGGGGCAAAAACCCTGAAATTAATGCTGATTGTCCCAGAAAATATTAAGTGCATGCGACAAGGCTTGAGAAGTTTCAGAGAAGCTCAAATCCCAGAGTGTGTGGCCTCTGGAGCCGGCCCAGGGGTTCTGTCCTCATTTCCTTCAAACAGCTCCTGCCTCAGAGCAGACATTATTTTTCCTACAGGTGTGATCTGGGCTTGTCACTTCCTCCCTGTGAGTCTCAGTTTCGTTCCGAGCGAGGACAGAATGTGGTGGTGTTTTGTGCATTAGCAGCAGCTGGCACACAGCGGGTGCTGAAGGGCGCTGGTTCCATAAATGCTTTTCACTGAGCGGCCGGGGGGAGAAGAAGAACCAGGAATCAGTGGCTGGGCGATGAAATCAGGCAACTCCCTTGCCTGCTCCCTCCTCCTGCCAGCTCCTCAGGCCCTCCGGGAGCCACATACTGCCACGTGTACATCTGAGGCAGGAGAAACAGAGGCAGGAACTCAACACTACCGAAACAGATGTCAAGAACGTTATGGGTGGGGCCGGGCGGGGGAGAGCTGGAGCCGGCGGGCAGCCGCAGGAGCCAGAGAGGAAGGAGGGATTTCCAGGACACGAGTCAAGAGTGCACGGGGCTGAGCCTGCGTGGCTGGGAGCCGCTGGCCTGCAAACCCAGGACGAGAGGAGAGGCTGGGCGGCTAGGCATGAGACCCGGGGTCTAGGGCAGGTCAAGTCGTGGCCCGGAGGTGATGATGTGGGCGGGAGGAAGTAGTAAGTGAGGTCCAGGCCCACGGAGGAGACGGGGGACCCTCTGCAGGGCGGCAGCGGCGTGAGGGCACAGCTGCGGGTGGCTGACCTCCGCCTGGCTGGCTGGCTGTGCTTCACCACTGCGGGGGATGAATTTACCCTGCAAACTCAGATGTACCCAAAATAGAACTTGCTTTATTTCTCCACGACTAAACCTAGTTTCCATTAGGCACTTCCATTCTGTTGAAGTCAAAGAAATGTGATTTTGGCCAGCTGGGGTTCCTCTCCCACCACATTCCCCAGGGGGCTGCCCCACCCTTGCCGTGGGGAGGGGTCACCTGGCACTGCGTGTCCTCATGACATCTCCCGAGTTTGTTGAGGTCCCATCCGCTCTGGGCTCCTGGTTCCGCCCACACACCTGCTGTCCCCTGCTCGTGCCTGCAGAGCCTCTGAGTCCACATCCCTCTTGGGACATCCAGGTCCTCTGCACAGGGGCCTAAGTCACAAATTCTGTGTCCCCAAAGGCCTGTGTGAGCCTGGCCTCATCTGCCTGGATGTATCCTGTGATCATTTCTTCCCTGGGGTCTCAGCCATCTCCCTGGGGAGAGAGAAACAGCCCCTCTGAATCTCAGATGCCCCAAACCTGATGGGGGTCTTCTCTGTAGCCCCCCCAGGCTCAGATGGGGAGGAGGGACCAGGATCCACTTTAGCCAGGAAGCCCAAAGCTGACACATTCCTCGCTTCCCCTCTGCCTGCCTCCCCCCGGGGGCATCTTGGGTGTCAGGGAGAGGGGACTATGTGTCTACTCAATGAGCTCTCTCCCCTGACTCTTGGCTGGGCAGACAAGCTCTTTCCTTCTTGTTTGGAAACTTAAGAACCTGGAAAAGACCTGGAAAAGAGCCTTTCTTCCCTCTGTTTTTTGCTGTCTATCCCTTCTGTATTTGTTAGGATTGGTGGTTTAGTGGTTAAGATCCCACGTTCTTACTGCAGTGGCCTGGGTTCGTTTCCTGTCAGGGAACCACGCTGTCTGTCGGTTGTCATACTGTAGCGGCTGCGTGTTGCTGTGATGCTGAAAGCTGTGCCACCGGGGTTTCAAATACCAGCAGGGTCACCCAGGGTGGACAGGTTTCAGCGGAGCTTCCAGACTAAGACAGATTAGGAAGGAGGCCCTGGCCACCCACTTCCAAAAAACTTGACCATGAAAACCCCGAGAACAGCAGCAGAGCATGGCCTGACATAGTGCTGGAAGCTGAGAGGATGGCGCGAAAGACCCGGCAGGGTTCTGCTCTGCTGTCCGCAGGGTGACCAGGAGTCAGAAGCGACTTGAAGGCACTAACAACAACAAAGAATTTGTTGGGCTTCTTCTGGGGGCAAGGAGCACATATAGAACACAAGGCATCAGAAAGGACAAACGGCCCCGAGTCGCAGGGTCAGGCAGCCCTGGGGCCAGCTGCTCCAGCAGCCCCACGGCATCACCACAGACCCCGGTCTGTCCCCTACTTCCTCTCGGCACACTTAGTGCGACAGCTTTGCTGTTAGGCAAGCTTCCCTCAGGGCCACAGGACGGCAGCCACAAGATGGTGGCTGCGGGATTGCTGTCCCAGTTCCGGTTGTCACATCAGGCATGACGAGGGCCAGTGACAGCAGCATCAGAGGTTCCTTCATCCAGCAGCCTTCCTCACTTCTCATTGGCCAGAAGTGGCCAGGTGACCACACCTAACCCCATCACTGGGAAGGAGGACAGGATTATGAGAAGCAAGACTTACCCCTGAACCCCGAGGGTCTGGGCTAAACCCTCAACGAGATCAGAGGGGTTGTGGGGGAGAAGCGGTCAAGAGCACAGCTGGGTCATTTCTCATCAAAGCTCTCTGGCCGCCTTATCAGATGTGGTGTCTGACTCAGCCAGAGTGTCTTGGTTCCAGGAAGTGGCCTCAGCCCTGTGTGTCCCCTGATTACAGCTCTTACCAGTTGTCAGCCCTGCCCATGGGGCTTCAAGATCCTGGGGCACTGGGCTACAGCAGCAGCAACGTCACCATGTCCGGGAGCCCTCCCCAACCCTCCCAAGCAGAGCCGAGCTTCCCTGAGTTCAGCTGAGGCTGCAGGAGACGCTGCCTGGGTTCAAATCTAACCAGGTAAACAAGGGCAGGTCACCTCACTTTCCTCACCTGGAAAATGGGGGTGATCACAACAGCATCTGCCCCGTAGGGCTGATGAGGATTCAAGGAGATGATGTCTGGACAAGCCGGGCACACAGCAGGCTCTCTATCGGTGTTGAATATTATTTTCAGGCAGACGTTCTCCATACTCACTTTACAGAGGGAGGAGCTGCAAGGTACAGAGACTGGATAATTTCTTCCCACATCACGTGTTCATTCCTTCAACGGTGGTGGACCGACTACCTGTTACAGGCTCCCGCTGTGCTGGACACGGGGCCGAGCGGTGAAGGAGAGAGCCACACAGCCCCTGCCCTCACGTAGTCTCCAGTCCAGTGGGGGAGATGGACTCACACAGGTCGTCGCACCAGGGCTCCAGATCAGGGGACGTGCTCAAGGAGTCACGGGAGAAGCTGGTTTGGAAGGCGGGAGGCGGGGTCTGAGGAAGAGGTGGCTCAGCTCAGCCCCAGAGGTGAGGGGGGCCCAGCCCGCAGGCGGAGGGCAGATGCTCGGCGCCTTCCAGGCCTGAAGGAGGGGCCAGGAGGCAGGAGGCAGCCAGGTTCACGGGACCCGGGTTTGGGATCTGTCCAGTGGGCGGCACCTGCAGGAGTTTAAGGTCACTGGGAAGTGCTTGGACGCAGGGGTCAAACCCAGGCCTTTCCGACAAGCGGCCAGGACCTGAGCCACGGTTTCTCCGAGGGTGGCTGGAGGATGCCACATCCCCTCGAGCTCTTTGGGTGGCTCTCCTTACAGGAGTTGGTGGAGCTCCTGCCCTTGAACCTCGACACCCACAGCCGAGCGTGTGGGTGTTCAGAGACATCATGGTGTTAACTTGAAGCTGGCCGTGCGGCTGTACTCACACCACAGAAAGTGGCAAATGTTAGAATTTTGGTTTTTATAAAACAAGGCCTTCATTAAGAATTAACCTCCGCCCCCTGGGTTGAAGGGGGTGGGCAGGCTTGGGTGGGGGCAGGGCCTCATCGAGGAGGCATTTCGGGCGTGGTCCCCAGGCTAGGGGACCTCCTCTTTCCCTGGAACCCCTCACCCCCCCCCCATCCCACCCAAGGCCGAGCTCTCTACTTTACCCTGCCCCCTGGTGGCCAGGGTGGTTGGTGGCTCCAAGGGAGGCCCCAACACCAGCAGCCTGAGGCCGGCTCCTGGGATTTGGGAAGCAGAGCTGCAGCCGCAGCTGCCTGAGCCGAACACATTAAGGGCTCCAGTCAGGGAGCCCAGGCATGGCAGGTGCCAAGGTCCTGGGGCCGCCCTGGTTTTTCCCTCCCTGAGGTTTGGTTGGGTTCCAGCTCCTTGATCCCATCCTCAACATCACCCTTTTGTCAACTTTAACAGGAGTTGAATTTTCTTGCTCATAACCAAAAGGAGCTCAACTAATGTACCCAGGTCCCGGAAATGCAAACCACTTCCCTGAGAGGGAGCATCGAAGGGACAATAGATCTTTCAATTCTGTCACCATTAACCTAGCATCTCCAGGAGGCTCTTGGGCTCTAAAAATACCTAGGGCAGGTGAGATCCTCTCAAGGGCTCCTTGTCCAGGGGAAGGCCCAGACTGCAGGAAAATGAGGGAAATACAGTGCCTTGTGGGCTGTAAAAGAAGTTTGTATAAGATATAAAGTTTGCATAAGGGTGGGTAGCTCAAAGGAGAGAGCAACCAACTCTGCCCATATGTGTTTGGGTCTTGAGGGGTGAGTAGGAGTTTGCTAGGAGGAAGGTGAAGAAGAAAGTTGTGGGTAGCATTCCATTCTATACAATCCAGTCCACAAACCCCATAGATACCATCTGAGAGTGAGTCAAGCCATCTCATCCCACGTGGAACTCACAGGCTGGCGTGGGCAAAGGCGTGGACCAGAGGTCATGGGCACATTTCAGGGAGTTGCCAAGTGTCATGCACATTCTGGAGATATGCCATGTTTTCCATCTCTTCTCCAGTTCTGCCTGGCTCCCTGCTTCTCCCGGATTTTCCCGTCATCTTCTCCTGAGGTCTCCTCGGGCCGTCTTATTTAAAATTGTGCTCCTCACCTCCCCCATTCTGCGCTTATCTTCTAACTTCCTAGGGAATTTCCTGAGTTGTCATACTTATAGTCTATCTTCTCCTGCCAGGGGTGGGAATCTTTGTTGTGTTCACCGCTGTATCCCAAGCCCCTAGAACAGAGCTTGGCACATAGTAGGTGCTCGATAAATATCTGTGGACTGGATGAACACGAGTCCTAGAGGGTGGGAGTCTGAGCGTGTGGGGGCTCCGCTGCCCGCCCCAGCCCAGCGAGCTCTGGTCCTTTGTCCTCTGCATTGGTTCTGTTTGAACTGGGCACGCCTTGTCTCTTACACTCACTGTGACCCCATTGTCTAAAGACAAAATTGCCTATATAGTTGGAAAAAATATTTCCTCTGTCTTGTTAATTTATTTAGAGAAAGACTTGAAAGGTTTAGAATCGAGTCCCCTGTACTTACTCCTATCGCTTGATACCAGGACTGGCTTGAAAATTCAAGCGAGGGGTGACCATACGGATATGCCCTTTTGTTATAGTTATTCGTGTATTTGTCCTAAGCCCATACTAGGAGCAGCTTCCTTGAGTTAGGCGGGCTTCAAGTCCCGCCGTCCTTGGGGACCCCGCAGTGCCCAGCACAGTGCTGCCGGCAGGTGCTCAGTGACGCCCTGCTGAGTTAATGACAGGATGAACAGACACCGCCCCGTCCTGACACCGAGACCTTCCTTCCCTCTCTCCTTTCTTCCATCCTTCCAAGCATTCTTTCCATATCTACAGTTTGAGTGTCTACCCTGAGCCACACACGGCTTTAGGTGCCAGAAAAGCCAGGGGACTCCACGGCCTTGACCTGTGACCTTGTGGAGCCAGCCCAGAAGACAGACCCCAAGCAGATCTGCACCAGTGCGCAACCAGTTACAAAAGAGAGCAGGGCGCGGGGGCGAGGCAGGGGCAGGGCCCGCTGGCTGTGGCTGTGGACGGGGCAGCGCTGGCCGGGGACGGGCTCCTTGGGGAGGGAGCAGAGGCGAGGCCTGGGGAGGAGGTTTGAGTTTTCCAGGAACGGGGACAGGAGCCAGGGGATGGACGGCAGGGCGGGCTCCTTCAAGACCAGGGGGTGAGGGTGCATCATGGGAGGCCTGTGAGGGCTTTAAGCAGGGATGCGACATTGTCTGATTTTCACTTTAAAGGACGGCAGCCGAGGGCATGGCAGTGGTTCTCCCGAGGCAGAGTGATGGACTGACGAGCAGGACGCGGGAGACAGGGCTGAGGATGCGGGTCAGGGCCGGAGGAGGTGCAGGACTGTGAGTCCTGGGCCCTCAGGGCAGTCAGGGCCGGCGGCGGGGTGGAGGCCATCACCAGGCCTAGGGGAAAGAGATGCAGGAGGAGCAGAGGGCTGAGCCCTAACAGTCAGGAAGGGAGCCACTTCTGATCTGCACCAACTAAAGGGAGGGGAGGACCCACCTGTTTTAACTTTCTTGCACTGAGTCTGGGGGTTAAGTGGCATGAAGGGATCTGAGAGTTTGGAGGCCAGAGTTCAAGCCCTCGCCCTGCTGTGCAACCTAAAGCTGATAGCTGCCCCTCTCTGGGCCCAGACTCATCCTCTGCACAGGGAAGCGATAGACTTGAGATCCCTTGTGGGTCACTGGCCTCAGCCTTCTCCTTCCTTGGCTCCCTCCCTGCTGCCTGCCTGGAGTCCAGGGGTCCTTCCTGCTCCCCCTCATGTCCCGCGGGCTCCTGGCACTCCCAGGGAGGAAGCAGGTACCGCTCCATTCCGCCACTCTCGTGCCTTTGCCTCATCTCCCGCCTGCAGAACAGGCCTGTGTGGATGCTGGGAGAAGCAAGCGTCGCCCTCTGGTGGCACCTTCTGGGCCAAACTTCACTGGGTCCTGCTCCATTTGAACTCAAGTATGCCTAAAGCAATTATTGAGTGCCTTTGGTGTGCGCAGTCCTGAGGCAGGCCATTAAGGAGGTGGGCAGTGAGGGGAAGTGGGGAGAATCCTGGGTGTGGTGTCAGAGTTCAATTCCAGAGTCAGGCCACCTGAGCTCAGATCCTGACTCCAGCCCAGATCCTTACCCCCCGGGGCCTGGGTGTCCTATATGTGGGAATCAAGGCCAAGGGGGTTCCTGGGGTTGCAAGGGGATCAAATGGCACCACCCTGGAGTGCGTGTCAGCCTCGCTCCAGGCCCCAGACACGTGGGCTGTGTTTATAACACACGCATGCTCAGTGCCTCAAAGGAGACCACCATGCGGAGGGGTGCTCTGCTGTGTGGGTGGACGTGCCGGCCTCGGGGTTCCTCCAGGCAGCGTGGAGCTCATGCTGAGGGCCCTTCCCAGGGCCGTGCCCACGGTGCAGTAGGGGCCCCCTGGCAGTGGCTCTGGGCAGGGAGACCTGGCTGTGCAGGTCCCCTGCAGTTACACTCCTGACCATCCATGGCGTTTCCAAGGAGCCGGGACGTCAAGCGCCTGGGGCTGTGGGGGCCCGTCCAGGGCAGCAGAGACCTTGGGTGTGTGCAGCATCTCTTGTTCCCCCGTGAGCAGCTGGGCTGGCTGTGTCTGCACGGCTCAGGTGTGCGTGAAGGAGGCCTCCTGTGCACAGGTGTCCTGGCTTGAATGAACACATCTGTGTGCACGCCAGAGCAGGATGGGCTTGCTCCCCTGAAAAGGAATGATCTCCCCATCACAGGGGGAATTCAAAGGAGTCTGGGATTCTGGGAGAGATGCTGTGGAGAGGAGATAGGTATCAGATGAGGGTCGGATTCAGGGATGTTTAGAGCTCCAGGCATCTGCTTCAGCCCCACAGGCCTCTTTGCATCTGTGTCTGCTGTGTCAGACCCCTTTGCGTCTTTGCTCAGGCTGGTCTTTTATCTTTGCTGTATGTTAGCCATTACTGAGCCTTCAAGGCCTGACTCAAAGCCACCTCCTCCAAGAGGCCTGCCCTGATCACCTCACGCCAACTCCAGTTATTGTTACTGCGTGCACGCACGGGACTGTCTCCTGTCTCCCGTCTCCCGTCTCCCGTCTCCTCAGCTGGGCCCTGGACTCCTGGAGGCAGGAGTGAGGCCTGAGCATCTTTGGTAGCTGCCATTACTCCCGGCCCAGAGCCGGGATGATGTGGATGCTGGACAAATGCTCCATGCTGACTGCTAGCTGTTCTTCCCTTCTATGCCTGAGAAAAGCATGATCCAGACTCCCCCTGAGGAGGCAGGGGCTGGAGGAATGGTGGGAAGGCCAGAGTGGGTTCTGGAAGGCCAGAGCAGCGCAGATAGGACAGGCAGAGATGGCCAGCAGTGCCTCGAATTCCCACAGCTCTCTCATTCCAGAGGCAGCAGCAGCTCGATAGTTAGAAGTGTATCCTCCAGAACCAGACGGCCTGAGTTCAAGTCTCAGCCCGGCACTTACCACCTGGCTGGCCTTGGGCAAGATACTTAACCTCTCTGTGCCTTAATTTCCTCACCTGTAAAGTAGGATAATAGGAGGACCTACCTGCAAGTGTGGTTGTCAGGATTAAATGAGTTAATATGATGCTTCTCAAACTTCCACGTGCACACGAATCACCTGGGGGTCTGATGAAAACGCAGATTCTGACTCAGTCATCTGGGGCCTGAGACGCCGCATTTCTGACAAGCGCCCGGGGATGCCAACACTGTTGGACCTCGAACCCTGCTGGCGTCCTCGGGAATTAATGTGTCAAGTGCTTAGAAGAGACCTGGAGCATAGTAACGGCTTGGGGAAGTGTTGTTAGCTGCTGCTAGCTGGCACCAATCAGGGAAGGGATGGGCTTCTAGAATTTTCCAGAGCCTTCTTGGTGCTCTGCTCTCTGGAGCCTTGGCGAGGCTGTAGCCTCTGAGGTCTTTGAGATGGGGCGTCCTGAACCTCCTTGCTCGGTAGTTTGTGCTCTGGGCCCTGAGGAGGGACAGGTGCCGGGGAGCAGGCAGAGGGCGATTTCAGGAGAGAGCTGAGAAGAGAAACCGGAAGAAGGCCCTGCGGCAGAGGCGGCTTCTCGGGCCCACTCCCTCGAGTGTCCGGGCTTGCTCTGGTGCGAGCTGCACAGCCGAAACCACACACCTTGCAGCTCCCCGCCCCCTCCGCTCCTGCCGCCCCCTGCTTCCTGCGGGGAAAGTCACAGGTGACTTCAGCCAGGGTGCCAGCAGCACTTCTGGGCTGGAACCGCAGGCCTGAAACCACGGCCACATCCTCTTGATTGAAGTGCCCCTTGGCCTCTTGCTAGGCCTGCTCCCTGGCCCCCGGCCGCTGGTGCACCGGCCAGGCCTGGTTTGGTCCCTGAGCCCGAGCTACTTCTGAAGAGGTGGGGGAGGTTGGGAGGGTGGGTGCTTGGAGGGGCCGAGGGGTGGGGGTGTGGAGAGCGGGTCCTGGGTCAGGAGGCTGGAGGGCCGAGTGTCCGACTCAGCTCTGCTTTGAGAGCTGCCTCTCTCTGCATGCCCTCATCTCATGGTCTCTCTCTCCCACCTCCCGGGGTCATTTGCAGGGGTCCCCTGTGGCAACCTGCGAAAAGGGGTTGGCAACACAAGCCCCTTCATCAGTTAGGAGAGGGCGAGGGCCTCCTGGCAGGTGCGGTTGGTTGCCGCCCAAGTTCCAGTTTGAGGTCATTTCCCGGAGAGCAGCTCCAGGCCCCGAGGAATTGAGCTGGTCACAGCGTTCCTCCAGCCTTGCCCCAGAGAGGGTGATGCAGCCTGGGGCCCCATCCTCTGCTGCTTTCAGGTTGGCTCATGAGCTCTGGGAGGCCCATGAGATCAAGGTCACTGGTTCAAGGCCCATGTCGGGGAAGAACGTGAGCTTCCCCCTTTCCACTCAGGTGGCAGCTCTGACCCTGACTGGTTCTCTCCTATATCGGGGTGGGGGGTGCTCAGGGTGAGTGTGCAGGCGTTCTCAACCCAGGATCCCCTCCTGAGGGCTGAGAAGAGTCCCTCCTCCCTGAGGGAGGCAAGGCACCCATTCAAATTCCTCCAATCAGAGGATGCCTCTCCTGGAGGAGCCCTCAGCATCATCTGACCGGATCCCACGCTTGTAGGGCCGGGAGGCTGGGCTCAAAGTGGGCAGGCCTGGCGCCCTGGGTCTGGCTTGCTCACCATCATCTAGCCCCCTGTTTCTGGTCGCAGCACCCTACTTTTCTTTGGACATCTACCTTCCTGCATTAGGTGAGGTCTTGGTCAAGCTGCCGATCAAAGTACAGCATCCATCCTTTCTAGCCAGGAGGTGGGCATTTGACCCCATCTTAGCCGATGAGACTCTGAATTCTACTGGGAGGCGGCCAGGCAATAGCTGGAGGTTGGTACCTTGAAGGGATCTTTGAAGCTGGTCTGGAGTCTGCTGCCCCTGAGGTCTGGGTCT